TGCAATTCCGTGCGATCTGTATTAATAAAATATGAATTCTTACTATGAATCTAGATTCTGATTCAGACTATGAAAGGACAGTCTTAGATGAAGTTAGGATGAATAAAGAAATGTATTTCAGATGTTTCATACAAATGAAGATATTGTTGACCCTCTCTGCCTATCTATCATTCTTGTCACCTAATAAATGCGTAAAGGTGCACATTTGATTTTCATAATTATACTTACATACCTGCTACTTCGACAGTTAGCAACTTTGATTTTAGTACGTGCCAGGGATGCCTAACTTACAATCATATTATCTACTCTTTGTTCTTTGAACGTAAATCAATATCAATGATTTGATAACGCATGGGCGAATAGTGAACTGACTGTGAGTATCAATTACTCGATCGCATGTAGAAGCATTCGATAAGCTTGGTTTAAAAAAAGGACTACTGCCGATATTGCGATTGAAAATAAACTGAGTAAACACAAACGCGAAAAAATTTAAAACCTACAGGCAACTTTATACTACGAAAAACGTACCTATTACATGAAGTAGCCAAGCGCGAATCTGGTCTCGGTCTATTATCCGTACAATGAATTAAGTATATATGAGATTATGATGCAGTATTAAAGTGAAACCATATAGGGTGATGATAACTACAGAAAGCTTTGTGTACTCCGGTTGCGAGCTGTATTTTTGAGAATATTATGATCTCAGACGCGATCGTAGTTTCCGTTCAACTGCTGTTTTTTAAACGAAGGTAACATTGTTCTTTCCATACTACGTAATATTTTTCACTGACTTATGAAAATTCGTTTCCGACCTATATATCGCAACACACCGCGAAAGGAAATGCGGCTGTTTAACAACAGCATATGGGACATCATATACCAAAACATCACATTCTTAGTTGGTTTCATTTCTCAGATAGACCTCGTTACGAAAATAATCTAAAAATAATTTTAAAATAATCGAAAACCTCATCTGCTTGAAAGTTTAATTAAAAACTGAAAAGAAAAACACAAGTCTAGAATTCTGTTCAGTAAGGAACAAAGCTTCTTTCAACAAACAAAGACAAACAGTCGGGACGTATTATTGAGAAAATTGATCCTTCCAGAATATCGATTGGGTCTCGACTGTTAATATAACTTTGTTCCTAACTTAACAGAATTCTAAACTACTCGACTCGTTTTTTCCGTTTCAGTTTTTAATAAAACTTTCTTTTTAAGCCGGCTGGAGTATACTGTGTATGTATGTAACACAGAAAACGTAATTCCATTACATCTTAAACGCACTAGTAACGAGACATGTTGGATTTCTTAGGGCTATATTGTGTCCGCAGACTTCAGTGAGTGTTGCTTATGTGATTGAAACTGTTTGCCTATTTGTCTTGTCGAGCAACCGCACACTGCTGCCACTGGCCACTGTAGTGGTTGCCACTAAGCCACTAGCGGCTGCGATTGTACCTAGACCTACATACCTTTATACCATATGGAAATTATCAAAAGTACGAATTGAAAAGTAAACTTTTCAATGATGCACACTCCTCAATAATATCCGCTTACGCCTTAGTTACATCTAAGTGTCGCCGCACACGGGCCACCGACCATAACCACAAAACGCCGCCACCGGCATATTTCTTGTAATTTTCATACATTTTATATGGACTCGCCACACACGGTACGCCGGTGTCCGCCACACGCTACAAATCGTCGTTGCTCGCTTCTTATGGCCCGCACCGGCAACTTAATGCGCCGATACAAAACGCCTCCACACGTCACTTGCGCGATTCAGCACCCCTCTCTCCTTTGCCTTAGTCGGCCGCTTTCGCGCGCTTCAGCCACTTTAGTAGCCGCTTCTAGCTTCTCGTGGCGGCGTTTGTGGTTGTGGCGTGTGGCCCGTATGCGGCGACACTTAAAGCGGCTATACACCTTCCTATCCTATTAGATTTACCGGAAATCCTTAATTATCAAATAAAGTAACTAGTAGGAAAATATAATGGGCGATTCAAAAGAGTTTTCAATAAATCAATTTGAATAATATAATTTCACGTCATTTTATTACCTACTTAAACAAATGGGATACCTACCTCATTTAACAAATTTTGCTATTTTTCAATCCTTAGTTCGTTTGCTTCGTTCCGTTTATCTTATGTCTATATGTATATCTTAACCAGTTGGCACCGAAAAGCAGACTCAAAAATTAAAACTTCTATTTAATTTTAAGTTGAGGATCGGTACTCGTGAAAGCTAATGAATTTCCTCATAAGACATTCATAAGTTTTCCCACCATTCCATTAAAAAACAATCCAACGGGCTTTGTACAGGATCACAATTTCAAATCGCATACACAAATAGGTAGGTACATAAAAATTGTTAAACCTGTTCAGGGAAATCAACTTCAGCACGAAATGTAGTTTCAGATTCAAGGCTAAGAACTCACGGAGAGATTGTTTGCAGGGCTATTTCTTTTCAAAACTCACAAGACTGCAGTTTTGTGCGTTCCAGCAGCTGCCGTGGTTCCGATAAGGAACAAGAGAAGATCGGACGCAGCCCGCTGTGTCTGCGGATGATCGCAAATAATCTTCTACGCAGCGCAGCGGGCGTAAATCGCATTTTATTATTATTCGCAATTCCGTTTTACGCAGAATTTATCATTTTACAAGAGTAGCGGTAGGTACACAGATACGAATAAATAACACTACACAGATTCAACAGAAAACCCAAAACAACTCTCATTCTAATGGAAAATTACATTACCGAAATCCCAAAAGCAATTTCAGTAAATAATTTAATATTCCCCATTTAATATTTCGGCTCTATTCCGAAAAGATATTACGTAGTTACATTTCTGTCCATAAATTTAATTAATCTCTTTGATAACAAGGCAGTGGGCACATCACATGCAACTGGTGTTGTGTAAATTATATCAATATTATTTCCTATTTCGCTGTTATTTGGGAATGCTAACGAATCACTCTACCCCACCTACCTCTCTTATAATCTAACTTCCACTCCTGTCACAATATCTCTCAACAATCGAAAGATAATTACAAACCTGACCTAATAATTTGAAGTTGTTAATATCAGTTATCATGTGGCTCAGCAAATTGACCAGCTCCACCTGATGTATAACCGAAGTCCGAGTCCAGTCGCGAAGATAGTAGGAGCAGCAGAAAGTGTACCGCTCCAGCCATTCTCACCTTGCCGGCCTTTACCCAATCCCCTACCCCGTGGAGGAGTGGAACCTTACTCACCGACAGAAACACAACACTACCAAAAGTTAGTGTTATTTTACTGCGGTCTTCTGTAAGGTTGGAGGTTGCATCCCCAGATGGGCGCGCTAATTCGAGCGAGAAATCCGCTGTGCCTTAAAAAACTTTCAAAAACTTTTTTCTTTCAACATAACATTGAAGTTGTTACTGTCATTTAAATTTGACATAACACTATAGGTGTAGGCAGGAGTTGAAGTAAGACACCACAGGACTTGTTGTTGTAGTAGTTGTATCTTTTTCTCATTTTGTACAATGAAAAGGCCAATTAGGTAGATTTTCATTATTCCAATAATTTTAGCAAGAACTATAAAGTCTTTATTAGGCTTAGATATTCGTTTTAATCGATCTATCGAACTCGGACTCTCACACACAGGTTGTTTTTTGCCTGAGCGTTTTTTGTCCTGCTTTAATCAGATTATTAGTACACTATGTTTATACACTTCATAAGGGGGTTACCGCCTTATTAATTAACGAGGAAACAGCATAGGACAAATTACGCCGTCTTTTGTTGGTATCATTCTAGTGAAATTTTGTAATTGAATAAATAGAGGCAAAACATAGAGTAACTAATCCAAGCTTATTCTTCGTTTATTAAGGAGGGGTAAAAGTAAAAGCCGTTCCCGGAGTAGTGTATCTAATTTAAGTTTGATCAAGTTATTAATTGCTTTCACTTTCCTTGCTATAACAATAGAGTAAGATATGCATGCTTACTGAATAATTTTTAGTTTCCCGAAAGGTGGCTTTAAGGGTAATTATTAAAAAAGGGTTCTTTTTAATAAAAATACTGTAATAATGTACTTTAATGAAAACACTATCACTAGATATTGACAAAAACCTCCATAAGATGTTTAAAGGTATTCACTGTATACACACCAACGTAACTTAGCCGTTCTTGAAAATGATATCGCCTTCGTTCGATTGAGATTGATTTGAGCAATGTGTTACATTAAGAAGTCTTTGGTTACATTAGCAATGACACTGTATTTGAGATCAACTAGAAATTGGATGACATACCTAGTGATGTGAAATTATTTTTGTTCAGAATACTATCTTCAAAAATAAATGTTTATTCAGGTATGCTATGTCTGATTTCATACACATGCTTTAAAAAAAATACATTCTTCAAATGCGCTCTGTTAACTGCGTTCATACTTCAAACAAATATATTCCTTTTGGTTGATAATTTTTCATAAAAAATGTGTGGTAGGTTTTTATAATAAACAGAAAATGGTTGCCATTACAATAGAATCTCTTCTATTATCTAATTTGGAGGTTTCATATGTTTTGGAGATGGATGTCGAAATTATGTTGTCAATGAAGTAATTGTTAAAAAATTTGCCTATTTGTTCTGGATTCAAAATTGTTTTGTGGTTTACATTGATTTCTAAAATATGATCTTTAGGAACATTAACACTGTTTTTTTTGTATAAGTGACCAACGACTTTAGGTCCATATACAAGTATTTTACTAAATCTCGAATCAACTAAGACTAGCTTTAACCCATAGAAAAATGACAAAGAGACAATGACGTTATGAAATATTTCTATGGGACATATCTAGTTTTGGTTGAATCGAGATTTAACAAATTCGCTGCAAGTGGGTCTGTATGCAAATATTATAATCTTGTTAAGTAGCTTTACAATAGTCCTATTGTGATCTCTGTGAAGGTCGTGCAGAAACATACATGGCAAAACATCAATCATGCATTCGACAGACTTCTTAATTCTACTCGCTTACCGCTTATGTCGGTATTATCGAGCATTGTCCAGAACGTGTACGACAGTGATGATTTAATTAGTTAGTAATTAAATAACCGCAGCACTATGTGCGCTCGTATCACTTCACAGAAACACAATGAGCCACCGATCGAATTGGACAGTCCAATCAGGCACTTTCGGAATTAACCGCACATCACTACACCGGGTTATACTGGCAACGTTCGAGCGATCGACTTAGGAAGATTAAATTTTAAAACAGTAATATTTTAAAATTTTCTGTGCAGTTAGTTATTTACTGCACTTAATCACGTGATGATACATTAAAATGTGAATTGTTTGTGAGAAATGCAAAAATACGCGACAAGCTTGGACGTGCAACAGCCTTGTGCATGCGAAATTAATATGACACAACATTTTAAGAACAACACCTTAAATTAAAAATCCCAATAAGGCTGCAGTCTGCAATAACATTGTCGCACCCAATTGGTTTCTTTATTTTGCCAAGCGACAACTTTTTCGACAGCATATTACTATACGTACTCTAACTAGTTTCGTATTATTAGGAGCTAGCGAGTAGCAGAACACCGATGATTTTTATTAATACACTGTTATCTATTTTTTATGTATATATTTATTAATATATATCATATATTTATTAATAAATATATACATAAAAAAGACTTTGAATTACTAATCACACAAACCAGCTTGGGTTCTATTTCTCAACCCCAATCAGATCTGGCAACCTTACTCGCTATAAGAAAATAACAGTACAAGAATTTAAATCTTGTTATTTGATGCAATATTCTATAAATAAAATTAAATATACTACCTAAGAAGGGATTAGAAAGGGAAAATTTCGGTGCCGTATCTTTTTTGAATCCTTTATTAAATATGTCCAGATTTTCTTTTTTATGTAGGCAAAGGGTAGCAAACAAGCTTATGTCTCGACCGAAGGTAAGCGGCCACCATAGCCTATAAATGCTTGCGATACCAAAAATATCATCAACCGTGCGACCGTTGCCTACTCCGATCCAATCCTCTAACCCGTGGAACCCTGGCACCTTACTCAGTGACATAAACACAACACCACCAAATGGTATTTCTATTTTACTGCGTGATATTCTGTAAGGTGTATTATTATATTGTCACAAACGCTCTCGAAACAAAACTACTATTAGAGGCAGAATTTACCAGAACACCGCATATCGAAATAAAGGTAGAGTGATGCGGCTTATTCTAATATGAGCCTTATGCAGTGCGGCGTAAGGGAAAAAGTGCAACGACATCTGCACTTGTTTACAACTTACGCGCGTTACCTCCGTAGGTGTAAGTAAGTAGGTACGACGCACTCGCGGGTGCTAGTTAACTCTCAATTAAACGGGACTTTTCTAGAACGTGTCAATTGGCGTATATAAGCGCGATCGGCGCCGCGCAGAAACAGTTAAGTGTCAACAGCGATTTCGGAACAAATACAAAGGCGATCAAAGTGCAAGTAAAGTGTTCAAGTGCGATTGTTTAAAGACTTGTATAGTGAAGTACAGTGTTTAGTAAGTGTATTGTGATTAACATTGGGTGTTAACTGTGTGAACTGTGTGGTGAATAAAGTAAATAAGGTGAATAATTTTAAGCGTGAACTGGCATATAATTTCGAGTCCCATACCGACGCGTAACAATATTTTATTAACATAACAATTGTGTAACGTTGTTCTGATTCTGAGTTGCATTCCGTACCGATTAGGGGAATTATGCATGTACTTATATGACTATTATTTAAAGAGAACCATAATGCCCACTAAATCAAAGCTTTTAAGTATATTCAAGGGTATATCAATTAAAGACAATTTTAAACTTATGGGTTAACATTATGATGCTTTCAATATCGTGAACAAAAAGCCAATTGACAAACACTTTGGATCGCTCGAATCCGCGATCTAGTGTTTCCTGTATCGTAACCTTGTACGTTTACTATGGCGAATTTATTAACCGAGTTTGTGATACGAAACAGACTATTTAATACACTGCAAGCAGCACACCAAATAACGAGCCTATTGTTTATCAATTTTGTAGAGATACTAAAACTGAGTTTTCGCTCATTTTGAGATTAATTCACACCCAACTGACCAATTTTTAGATCACTGGAGTGAATTTTATTGGCCTATAACTTATCTTAAGCCGAAATCATCGTCATCATCATAACCAGCCTATTAATTTCCCCACTGCTAGGGTACAAGCGTTACTTATGGGTGGAATAAGGTGATTGGGCCATGACCCACCACGGTGGCCCAGAGCGGATTGGTGGGTGCTAACAACTGCAGATGCAGCCGGGACCAACGGCTTAACGTGCCTTCCGAATCACGGAGGAGCTCGAGATAATAAGATTTTGGTCACCCATCCAATGAATCACCATTGCGAAAGATGCTTAACTTCCACCGGCACCATCGAGTTTTTTCAGTCGAAATAACCGTAAAATAATCGAAATTTTATTACTTACATCTTTTTATTATATTATTCGTGAGTATTTTCCTTGTTATTTTACCTATCTTCATCGTTGTGGCTTCGTTTTTAAACCCATTCAATTAACGTTCTTGAAGGCCTTTTCAGTTATTAAGGTTCCTACATGGGCTATGAAAACGAAAACGTAGTGACGAGTTCGATGATGTAGTTTTTAACGTTTTGGTCTGGAATTGAGGAAGTTATTCAACTTTCCTGATGGGCAAAAATTTACTAACTCGAAATGTTCCGTAGTTAAGCACAATGATTTTGAGATAAAAAATTCATGATGCACCCTAGCTCCAATATAGGGTCCTGAAATCATGCAATTGGTAGCACACACCAATCCACACTAGCCCCGCGTGATATATTTTGAGCTGCGTTGTCTTTTTATGTAATTCCGTCCTTAGATTCATATTCCAGCAGTAGGCAGGTGTACATTTTACAGGTATGTTGAGAAATAGCACTTTTTACCTTTTCATTTTCTGTTAATTTAAGTAGTAACTTACTTTATCTTCAAGAAACTTGGCCTCGATAATATTGGACACAATAAGATTCGCCATACGTCGGGGTAGTCTATCTGAGCAGTTCCGGTAGTAATAGAGAGGAAGCAGTTGACTCCTGGCAGATATGAAGCGTTGAAACTTATTTTGTTAATCAAAGCCTAACAAAAAAATAAATTGAAAATCATTACTCGACGTTAAACAAAAGTTATAAATAAATGATACTAGTGGCCCACCCTCTCTTCGCTTCGATGTAGACTACATATATAGTTTTGGTTCTAATATAGCATATGTGATTCAGAAGTAACGTGGATATCTATTGGTAGTAGATTCCATGTTGCGTCCGTGTCGCTTTATACATACTGCCGAAATATATAAGTATTTCAGATCAACCCCAACTAACCCTAAACCCCAAATACACCGTCATCAACCAGGTCCAGTTGTGAATCTAAACCAGGCTAGAAATACAAAATAAAACATGAGAAACGCATAAATTCAAGAAATTCTGCATTCAGTCATCAGCTTAGCCATTTAGAAACTTAGTAGAGAGTGACAAACATACAGAAAAATAAAAAAATAATTTAAATTCACCGTATTCAATATGTAGCATTGTGAATTTTCATATTCTACGAATTCCACAAATCAATTGACACTTTATCTTATTAATAAAACGTTATCAATCATAACAATCAGGCTGGCTGAGGCACGACCACTGTTAACTGGAACCTAGAGCCACATGAATTAATAATTATTTCTATACTTACTCTGTCATCCAAATGTTAACCGCAAAGATCTAGTCACAATTGTGGATGAAGCCTTTATCTGTTGTTTGTATACACATTTGTTTTTCTTTGGTTTTTAGATTTGATTAGTTATATTAATATTTTGAAATTGCGTTTATTGATACACACAATCGTAGACTTGCACCTGTACTCAGAGACATATTATACAACACTAAACATTTAAGTTTAATTAAAGTCAGTGCTGTCACTTTCTGTACGATAACAATAGAATAAAATAATCCCCAGAAATATATAAATGGCATTAAATTTATTAGATGTCTCTGAGCACGGTCGTTCATTAATAATGCCTTAGAGGCCCTATCTTTTACTGATTTAAAGACATGCTCAAGTTACTTAATTTTATCTACATATGTCCGTCCATGGGAAAGACTTTAAGTTAAGAACATTCACTATCTTCATGAAGTTATATATCTATGACTATCTTCTACTATCTTGATTGATTAAAGAGGATAGTTTTAGTCTTTTTTTGCTGTCATCGATTCTAAAGAGAGTATTCTGCTAAGATATACTCAGATAACAGTTAATTTGCAATTAATCTGCGAAAAAACATTTTCTGTGCTTGGCTGTGTCGGTTGCAATGTCAGATAAAATGCTGACAGATACCTAAAAATGTCCAATGGGAATATTTCCAACCCACCATGCCGCTTAACAAATCATGGTGGGCTATGTAAAAGATGATATAATGACACAATCGCAAAAGCTGTTCGCTGGCTGCGTCTCCGGTGTAATGACTCGATTCATAACTCAGCCCATGGATGTTATCAAAATACGACAGCAATTGCAGAAAAAGAGCGCTTTTTCCAGAAGTCTAAAGCGATGGTTCGGCACCACCAGAAAGATCTTCAGAGAAGAAGGCATTAGAGCCTTTTGGCATGGTTACACTCTTGGTCAAGTAGGTACTTGAATTAGAAACATCCTTTTTCACTTTTTTTGTATTCTACTGAAGAATCCTTAATAGGTGACTCATTAAGGTACTTGTACTTATGAGTAACTCATATTTAACCTTTTTGTCCTTTTTTACAAGTCGGTGTATTTCAAAATCTATCCTCTTATTTCAGTTTCATTCTATCCTGTCTGTCAGTTCCCAGTTTTATGTTTATGAAATGGCTACTAAACAAGTGGAAAACAGTCAAGTGGATATTAAATACAAGTAAGTAATACAAATAAATAAATATTTCCGTCACTCACGCCACTTAGCCTAGCCCCAAAGTATGCTCCAAAGATACTAGGGTAATGGATAGAATATATGTGTATATACTGATACATATGTATATAAATATATTTATAGAAAATTACATATTAAACATCCATGACTGGAGTACAAATGCTCGTATTCATCACACAAACAACTGCTCACACCGGGATTCGAACCCGGCTCGAGGAGGCGACACCTTGAAACCCGGCCTACAAACCACTCGGCCATGGAGGTCGTCAAAGTATCAGAGTGTCGCCTTTTCGTTTTTTGTTCTAACCCTTTCTCCTACATGATTTTTTGGAGCAAAGACACTGTCTAGCATTAAGTTTATTTGCCTTTGATGATACATAATCAAAGATTTGGCCATCATTGCGTTGCAAATCTGATTCCGTCTGAGGCTCACCATTTAAAACTTAAAACAATCTAGGGGACTAAAATTTTTAAGTTTGAAATTCCATACTCTCTCTATTTTTAAAGGAGAAGGAGAAATATCAGTGGAACTAAACCAATCTCTTTTCTATCATGAAACGAAGGAATCGAAGAAAGAAGGAAGGAGAAAAGCTACGCAATCGGGCTGTCGATACCGTTCCATTTTTTTATAATATAGATGTATTGTATATGTAATCTAATATGACGTGTTTAAAAATAAGTGTTTGTGTATTCGTAGGCCTTTTTTACTCTTCTTGTGTGGTGCTCTGGCTGGCGGGACTACTGCAACTATTGTAATGCCTCTAGAAGTTATTCGCCTTCGCCAAATGCTCGTGAAGGATCAATACCGTGGGTTCTTAAACGGTGCGAAAGCTGTTTACCGTACTGGAGGGATCTTAGCCTTTTACGAAGGACTGAGCGCCTCGTTGATGCAGGTGTTTGTGACATTATTGTCCATAATTATTAATTATCCTCACTGTCCACAATGAAGTATATTGTCTATCACATGCATTTTTACATTACTCCGTGTTATTGGCTTGGAAACTCTCAAAAGGACATTTATTTTTACATTTGATTGCTTTTAGGTTTTTGCAAAGCTTCTGATCTGGAGTTTAGCTATACGTTTCTGCAAAGATTAAAATGTGGATTTAAGATAATACTAGCTTTAATTTGTAGATGGGTCCAGCTGCGGGTATATCATTCAGCGTGTTCCGAAATGTACAACCGCTGATCCTCGGCATTTTAAAGGAATGTACCGAAGAAAGCTGTAAGCACGTTTCAGGCAATGTGCACAAGCCAGAACACTTGCTGGTCGCCAGCACAATCGCCGGTGGAATCGCTGGATTCATCTCTAAGACTGTGACCTACCCATTTGACCTTGTCAAGAGGAGATTACAAATAGCCGTACGTCCATTTTAGCATATAATGTAACATCCTGGAAAATAAATTTCCTATAACCTTCTGTTGAACTGCTAAACTGGCAAACAAGAATAGGGCCAGCCTTACCATAATTGGCGCGATACTATAGTACTATTGGCTCGTACCCCTGACCCAGTGGAGCTCTAGAAACTTCCTTATCGACAGTAAACCACCAAAAGAAGCTAATATTCCGTTAGGCTGAGGTTATTTTCCTCACATTCTACTGAAGTACCGATATTTCGTTTGGACCCTTTTAGATAAGGGCCCCAGAAAATAACTCCACCCCACCTGATGATCACCTCATGAATCACTAACGATAATAGTTTTATTGTATGGGAAAAAAGAAACTTCCATACAGTCATATTAACCATAATATCGTCAAGGTTAATCTTTACCATTAGATACTTTAATAACAGGCAATACAGCTCTATGGTCGTTTTTGTAATAATCATTTACAGTTTTGTAGTTCAATTAGTAAAAAGGTCTTGTTAAACTATTTGAGTTTGACCAAATTCAGTGCAATTCCTGGGGAACTTAGCAATCTTTTAATGTACATACATTGTATTCTATCTTTTTCTTTTAATTATATATGAGAATATTCTACCTACTATTCTATCTACTAGACAGAGCAATAGGAATGCACTTCATATCTCATGAGTAATTTTTGCAATGTTAACAATCATAGTAATTCTGTACACCGCCACATTACTCTTCAATTTTACTTGCCACTTTAATGATGTTGCGAAGTAGCCGACGAGCTCCTACGAGTCTTCCGACAAGCAGTTATTCATACTAATATTATAAATGCAAAAGTATGTCTGTCTGTTACCTCTTCACGCTGCAGCCGCTGCACCGATTTACATGAAACGGGATATATAGAATGTTTATGTCCCGGGGAATAGAGTATGATAGCTTTTATTTCAGAAATCGCCTTTTAAGGGCGTGTTATGAAGGGTGGAAGTTTCTATGGGAAACCAAGCAGACGAACTCACCGACACCCACTAGTCGTCAATAATGCGTCTCAGTAATAGTGGTATCCCATGATATTTACTGCTCCGCATGATTCCTGCGTCATCGTTGTGTAACCAACCGACATAACATCAGCAAGTACCATTAGCTTAGAATAGAAAGTGCTTCTATTGGTCTAGACTAGACGGTATTTTGATTTAAACTCTCTATGGTATATGAATTCCCCATTTTAAACATTATCAAGACACGCAATCAAATTAATTTAGTTTAACGAAAGGAAAGATGTTTTTCTGATTACTATACAGGTATACAATATATTAATTTTCCATATTTGTGTTCATTTTTAGGATTACGGTCTCAAAGGATGACAATACAATAGAATTCCTATTAATATGTTGCCTGTCTGTCGCAACAAATAATTAAAGTAGAAATTAGAGGGTCATTATTTTAATAGAGGCGCGACAAATTACCTCACCCTACCTGATGTAAGTGTATGTGGGGTCCAGTTGCGAAGATAGATAATGCGGCAGACGATGTGCCGCTCCAGCCATCCACACCTTGCCAGCCTGAACTACACCCCGTGGAGCCCTACTCACCAGCAGAAACACAGAGGTAGAGTTAGCTTCCTCAGACCTCGCTCCAATTCGAGCAGAAAATCCGCCATCCCCTTCCTCTTCAATGGTTGTTACTCTTGATCTATTTTACAAAATGTTTGCTGGGTTTGCGAGACCGAGTAGCACTTGCCGGTTCCTTTTTTTCTAATTGTTAACGCCATCGATCCTTCGGCGAGAGAATCTACAATCGGTCCATTATCATCGTCTCTTCATACATTCATTTCGTACCCATTCGTTACTACATTCACTCATTTTGATTTATATAGATGCACACACCCTCTTGCAATTCGAATTCAAAAAAGAAAACGTTATGTGCGTACGTTTTCTTTTCGATTTCGATGATATCTGTATGAATAATATTCTACAATCTGAATATCCGATTTTTATTAAGAAATCCACATATAAAGACACTAAGCTATCGAAGACTAATATTTTATTCATTTTGGTAGATAAAAAGATATTTTTGTAAAAAGCTATGAGCTTTCTTATTTTCTCTTTTATTAAGAATTTCCGAACTTTTTCTTTTTTGTATGTTAGGAATATTTCTTAGAAATTTTATTGTTATTTCTTTCACAGTCGCACCAAGAGGACGTCCGCTATCGAACTCCGAGTACGTCTAAGCATTTACTGAAATGCACGAGCCTGTTAGGTTGTCTGAGGGATACATACAAATCAGAGGGCATCCTGGGTCTATTCAGAGGCTGGAAAATCACTATATACAAAGCTCAAGTTACCAGCGTAGTAGCATTTACAACATACGAGCTAATGTGTTATACCATTAGAGAATTTGATGTGAGGTAGTATCTATAATATATGCTTTTATAATTTTATGTATTTTTGTCACGTTTTAATTTGGAAGTAAATCTTGCAATTTTGTATAAAAGTCTTTTAGTCCGCGCTGCTTACGAGCGCTTGCGGCACACTATCCGCTACAAAACCCTGCGAATGCCCTCTAAGCTGTTAAGGGCGGAACCGCGAGATCCCCGTTGAGGAGACATCTTTTATACCTACAACACACCTTTTTTTATGTGTAACATCTTTCCTCTAGATTTCCTGCAATTTGTGCGAGTGATTTCGTGAAATGGGACGGAAGTGTGTAACAGGAAGTCGCGAAAGCGCGCGCTATTTGATTTGATTTTAGAACATAATGTTCAAATGGCTTAATCCTTTTGTAGTAGGTTTTATTTCTTTTTTTACTTATATAAGGTGAGGTTTCAAATGTTACACATCACACGCGACTACTGTAAGGCACGCTTGTTTTTTTTTTTAAATGTAATATATTGTATTTAAATTCTAGGATACAGGTAAAACTTTGGCTTGCAAATTGAGCCTTGGAACATTTTTTGACTTTCACCCTAGGGGTCGCAAGGGCTTTAAAAAAAACAGTGTGATATTTGTAGAAAAAAGTCTGTACACATCTTTATTATTTGTCTTTGGTTCTTATACCTATTTAACAACATTATTGGTAACGAGAATACTCAGGAAGATGTACATCTTATTCCTTGAACAGGTGGGTCTCCAAGGGGTTGGATGTGCGTTCATTTAAAGATACCTACGGACAAAAAATACAATTTAGATTAACGTCAACATCATCATCAGCCTATTAATCTCCCGCTGCTGGGGCACAGGACTTTTCTATGGATGGAATAGTGAGATTGAGAAGTGTCCCACCGCGTGGGCCCGGATTGAAGGTTGTTAACATTTGAGCTCCTCCAAATCCATACAAAGATAATAATAACAACTAACAGTGATAACATTGATATTCTAAAAGGTTTTAAACTAACGAGCAAAGGTGACGTGAAATTTTCTTACTCTAATAATACCTACAATATGCACCTATCTTATGCACTGTTTTAAACAAAATTTTATGTAATTTTCTGTATTTTTTTCTCTAACAAAATTTTTAACACTACTGGTTTTCGTCCTAACGTCATTAAAATCTTATGCTAATAGAAACTGCATATCAAATTTTATTTATTTTGTAACGAATATGAAAAGAATTACTACTCCTAACTTCAAAACAGTTTTATGTCAGTCGTGAAGTTGCCAGCGAGCGCAACTCTGCGTGGGTTTCGTTTTAGTGAAACCCGCTCGAATCTACATTTCTTTCATTGCGACACCGACTTGCGCCAACTTCATAACCGTCATCGCACTATTACCTACCTTACTCTAAAGCGCTTTCGGCTAATTCAGTTCAGTTCCAGCCATGCGACAGCGCCTCGCCTCCCCAGCCGTGGTGCTCTTCAACGTGGTGGTGGTCGTGGTGGTGTACGGGTACAAAGATCTTCTTTTCCACCTCCACCTTCTTGATGACAGGTACCGGTATGTGTTTGTACACTGGCACTGGCACGTGCTTCACGATAGGCACCTCCTTGATCACCTGTACCTCTTTGACCACTGGCACGTGCACTGGCACGTGAACCTTGGACACGTGGTGGTGGTGGATGGTGTGCACCTTGTACGGTACGTGGATGGTGACTTTTTTGCTGTTGGCAAAAGAAAAGGCCTTGCTTAAATCCAACACAGAGTACAGCGACACCTGAGAGTGGCTGGACGTAGAACGTGGCATTTTTGACATTAACCTTTGATAGAAATAAATATGATTATTCATAGTGCTTCGCGTCACATTGTATACTAGTATGATAGTAGCCCAAAAATTTAAAGCAATGATTACTTAGCGTCAGCTCACACCGAAACGCGACGCGACGCAGCACGCTGCACAGAGCGACTCAAAGCATAACTTTATTTACTACGCGAAAAGATACACATTTCATTTTTTTAATTCAAGTTACGCGTGGTGCAATGTATTCGGGGTGAGCTGACGCTTAGAAAACAAACAACAAACTTTTTGCATTAAGTAGGTATATCTATCTGACGTTTATTTCACAAACTATGTAATAGGTAGTAAAATTTACAATACAACAAATCAGGGACAGATGAAAAGTTATAATTTTTAACGGACTTATTAATGATTAATGCCGTAATAGTTTTGAAATTGGTTCAGCTATTCCCAACGAGCCTATCTCTAACGATCGGAAGTTAACGTATTATTATGTATGGTGAAACCATGAAGGCGAAATAATTAAAAACAGTACTCATAGTCTCAAGCTAGCATACACTGCCAGGTGTTCGATTTGCGCGGGACGTCCCGATTTTCAGGGGTCTGGGGACGGGTCCCGATTTGCACCTGATCGGGAGGCTAAATGTTCCGATTAATGAAGAAATGAAAATTAGGTAATTAATATAATACTATACTTGCACTAGTTACTAGTTTAAAACGCAATAAATTAAACCCAGACTTAAAATTAATGTCCCGAACTGCAACCCTATATCGCGATTTTTTTGACTTCATGTACCGATTTAAAACAAATCGGACCAGCAACACTAGGCATGGCATAAATAAGAAATATTGCAAAATATATTTCTTACTTTTAAGGCAAATGCAAGTTAATGACTCTAATTACATTCCTAGTTAGGAAATTGAGAAAACAGTGCATAACCAGGCAACGCACTGAAGCCCTTGAGTGTTTCATTCGTTTCATCTGAACACACAAGTACCTACATGAACTTTTCTCAAACAATGTAAAATACTCTGCGTTTGCGTCTGGTTTATTGTTATACTAGCTTAAACGAGTCCGATTGAACTTGATGTCGAGCAAAACCGGCAGTGAAACTGTGAAACCTCATAATACACATAATTACCCGTATAGGTCGCGGCAAACTTCTTGAGCAAAACCACAGGACTTGCGCAGTAGACGTTTTGTGAGTATAATTGCTACTGCGCAGGTTCCCTTGTCTATGGGTCGTTGCTCAAGAAGTTTGCCGGGATGTATACCTACTCAGATGATTGTTGAAACGTTCTTTATAATTCGGATGCAGCTCTTCATGAAAGACCGTCTTGCTTACAAATCGACTTTCACGTTACGTAAAGGTACCGTGGTACCATCGCATTAGTAAGAAGACCATGAGCGCGTGCATTGCCCGCTAATCCTCAATTCTAAACTGGTGTAAACTTTGGCAGATTCCGATGATGATGTTTACTTCGTATAAATATTATTATAAGTAATAAAAAGACAAGGCATCGGCAGTGCTGACCCAAAAACTGGGTCATTTGTTCAAATAGAGCTGTTGTGATCAGTGTCTTGTGTTGGAATCTCATTGCCATCATGCGCATCAATTAAAATAATTATTACTAACAATTTCAGTAGCTGGCACGTTCATTCTGCTATTATGAAAAATAAGCAACTTCCGAAATGATCGGTCCCTAGATGGGTGACCGAAAATTCCACCGGCATAGAGCGAAATAGTTCCTTGACTTTGTATATTCAATTAATATACCTAATTAGTTATCTTGTATCTAACTTCACGTGTTGTCGAGGTTGTTTCTAACTTCACGTACCCACGAAAACTTTATCAGATATGAGTACGATACAGGTAATAAAGTTAAAGCGAAATTGTTACAGCTATCTGAACATATAGTTAACACACTATGAAACAATGTATATTGTTGGTGTAAACTTATGCGTAATTATTTTCTTTAAGTAGGGTACTAGGTAGTTTACATTTACGTTTTGAAAGCCAATCTTTTTTTTTCTTGCATAACCTGTATGATATTTTGTTTTTTTTATGCTACACACTTGTTGATCTCGAATTTCAGGTTTTCGTTACGATTATGCAATTCGTAATCATCCCCGCATTACTCGGTGTTTCTTGACCCCAACTAATGGTTAGAGCGCATTAGAAATCGCTTAATTTCTATCATTAAAATCCCTTCACTCATTCAGGTTTTTTTAAAGTTTTCTCACCAGAAAGTTACAATGTAATTTAAATTCCGTTGTTCTTGACAAATCTTAGTGAGAACAACAGATCAGAGAAAAATTACAAATTGGAGATATTTAAATATGAAATTAAATAACCAAAACGAACATAAAGCACTATTTCCGATAGTTTCTGGAGCTACCTGCATTTTGGTATTGCGTGTTTACGTGCCAAATTACGGGTATACAAGTGGTTTACTGTATCATTTCAAAGTTGCAACAGCAATTTACATTCGTCACAAGGAAACAAAAAAAGGTGCATGAGTTACGATACAAAACATGAATGAACCGGCTTGATGTTACCGTGACACAAAAAAACGGTCAGATGTTTTATCGTGACGTCATTGTCTCATTAGTGTGGCCGACGAGTGCGGGGAAGGTGCGCACGCGCTCTGCGTTTTTTAACACTGCGGCGTTTGACATTTGCAAAGTTACGACATTGTTGCCGAAGTCATCCTGTTTTAATTTTATTACAAAATTATGTGAAACACTTGCGCCGTCTCGTTCACTTCATCGCTTTCACTGTGTTGCGATAAACTTAATTTATATGTATGTATACTATGTCGAGCCCGTCTTCCTGATGAGAGGCTTTTCGAGAAGGCATGTTTACTAAGTTACATTATACCTTATGAAATTAAGACTGTTTACTCGTTCTAGGTCCTAATACACAAAAGTTTAAAGCTTTACCAAACCAAACAGAGAAAATATATTTTTTTAATATCTTTATCGATAATTAGGATAAGCTCGCATTCAAAAAAAATGCTAGAAAAAAAAACACGCTCCATGATAGTTACAGAAATAAGAATAGAACCTACCTTTTTACTAGGGCGTCATATAATTATTTCAAAATTACGAGTAAGTTCTTAATCGAATGATCAATTTTCGACACTAATAATATTCTTTATAATATGTGTTCCACTTAATGACCCACCACAAGTCATTTTAATGGCCTTTCACTATTACGTTTTTTTAAGTACCTCAGCACGCGTTTAATCCAACTAACTACAGTATTGACCTCAAAACAACAATCGACATAACACTTTGAAAACTTATTTTAAATATAAATATTTGAAAGTTCGTGAGAGGACGATCGAAGCAAAGTATGATTATTAGATTGTCATTTTGTGGTATAAGTATTTGCGAGAAATCAAACATCTTTTGCTTGCATTACAACTAACGTAGCACCTTAGTAGATGCTAGTCTATAAATATTATAGAGAAGTTGATTGATAAATCTTTATAGATACTAAATTATTTATTCCAGTCTCTGAGGTTGTCTTAATGATGCTTACAAACATTAGATCGCTGTCGGTTCAACTAAGTTTACAAAAGTGGTCACGCTACTTTTAACAAAGATCTATTGCAAAGTTAAACCTACTTAACTACTTGTTTGAAGATAAGTTTTCTAGAAAGACTACAAATTATGTGCTGCCAATGTTTTTATCTTCATAAAATAAACCTACAGTTTTGTTTTTATAAAAGTTCTCTGGTTTTAATCCTTTAAATTGTTAATGTCTTTTCAACGGCAGCGCTTTCCATTTGTGCTTTATGTATTTAATAAAAACTTTTAAAGCTCTACAGAACGAATGGATGTTCAGAGTTACATA